TAGTGAAGTTTTATACAAATTTTTTCTTTCCATGAGTTTTATAGTTTTTACTCTTACATTTATATCTTCGATCCATTTTGACTTAATTTTTGAATAGGGTGTGAAGTTGAAGTCCTACTTTTTATTTTGTGTATGCAAATCTAGCTGTCAGGAACCATCAGTTGAAGTTTATTGCTTCCTCATTGAATGAAGTTGGTTGATACCCTCATTAAAAATCATTTAATTTTGGATGTGTGAATTTATTTCTGGACACTTAATTGTATTTCCATGGTCTAATATGCTTATCCTTCTGATAGTACCATATTGTTTTGATTACTGTAGCTTTGTAGTAAGCTTGGAAATCTGGAAGAGTTAGTCTTCTAATTTTGTCCCTTTTCAAGACTTTCTGGGTATGTTTGGCCCCTGTAATTTCATGTAAATTTGAAGACTTGTTTTCTATTTCTGTAAAAGAGGATGTTGGAGTTTTGATATTGTGTTGCTTCTGTAGAGCATTTTGTGTTTTCACATTTTAATATTGTATTTTTATCCATGAACATAGCATATTCTTTCATTTATTTAGGTCTTTCATTTCCTTCAACAGTGCTTTGTTATTTGGAGGAGGGCATACATCTTTTGTCTCTTTTAATATATTCCCAGGTACTTTATTCATGTAGGTAGATGTTATTGTGGAAGGGACTGATTTGTAACTAGTGTATAGAAGCATAACCGACGTGTGTGTGTTTCTTGTATTTTTATAGCTTTATTGAATTTATCAGATCTCACAGCTTTTGTGTAGATTTTGTTTGTTTTTTCTATACATGCACATACATGTCATCTGCAGATGGGCATCATATTGCATCTTTCTTTTAAAATTTGATGCCTTTGTTTTCTTTTAATGCCTAATTGCTCTGGTTACAATTTTCAGTGCTATGGTAAATTGAAGTGGAGAATACACACATCCTTGCTGCATCCCTGATCTTGGGAAAAAAACTTCCAGTCTTTCAACATTGAGTACAAAATTAGCTATAGCCTTTTCATAAATGTTCCTAACATAAAGACATTAAGGAAAGGAGACTTAAAAATGGTACTTGTAGAAATAACTGGAGACCGAGGAAGATGCTTTCCAGAGAGGTTTGCTATTGCTTTTGTCAAATCCTAGCAGTTTGTGTAATGCAGATTGCCTTAGCTGGGATTTGTGTTTGGGATGTCTGGGCACTTCTGCTTCTGTGATACAGCCATCTGCATAACAGGGCAGGGAAATGGATTTCTGGGTCCTCACCCATGGAGACTCCCTTGGATTCTAACTCATCTTTCTTTTTCTTTTTTTAACTTTTAAAAATTTTATGTGTACGCGTGTTTTGCCTGCATGTAGGTAAGTGCACCCATGTCGTGCAATCCCTGCTGAGGTCAGAAGAGGCTGTTGGATCCCCTGGGACTGTAGTTACGGACAGTTGTTAGCTGCCATGTTGTTGCTGGGATTCGAACACGGGTTTTCTGCAAGAACAACCAGTGTTCTTAACTGCTGAGCCATCTCTCCAGCCCCCAGCTAACTCATCTTTCTATGCTATGTTTACCTCTCTGGATTTCTTCCTCTCTAGGACCTTGGCCTGATGCACCTTCATTATCTACATAATTCTTTGATGGTTTTAAAGAAAGTATTTCAAAAATATTTGATCTTGCTTTAAGTTGCTTTTAGCAGATGTTGCTAACGTACTGTTTCTGGAAGAGAATGTCTCCCTGGACCATTACTTGTTGAGAGGTAGAGGCTCCAAGTAACTGTTGGTTAAAGAGGATGCAAAGCGACAAGCTCACCTCTAATCCATCTACAGAGGTGTCAAAAAGAGCAAGAATTTGAATCAACTGCATGGTAGGGCAAGGCATTTATAAGCAGTCTTCAGTTTCTCATGGGATAGGAGGTATGTGACTTGCCTTTAAGCAATAAGCAACAAGTTCAGCCACCTGTTGTATTTTGCTGAAAGACAAAACAAAACAAAATTGGTTTTAGTCACTTAATCTCATCTGATCCAAGAAGAAACAAAGTTGCTCTGAGTCAGTCCTGGAGGTTGCCAAAACTGCTGTGATGCTAAGGCATGCATGATTACAGCTCTTTCCTCCTCTCTTTTCATCGCTCCCTTCTTTCCTTTCTTTCTTCAGAAAGTCAGCTCACATTAATTCTAACTCCAAACTCTAACCACTACAGTTAATATAGCAGAATGTCAAAATTCTGTGAAACAATGTTAAACAAAATATAGATTGAGCTCCTGTATCATGCTCCAACACACCAAACCCTAAAGTTCCAGACTGAAACTAAGTTGTTTATCTGACTTCTTGAGAAATCCAACAGTCTAGTTTTAGTGTCATGATAATGAAGTTCTGCTTTAATCTTTACCAGGAAGGTAATTTTGAAGCAACCAATCTTTTTATTAATTGCTATGTTAATTCTTTTTTTCATTTCTCCATAATGCCTGTGTGACAGAGCAGAGTTCTCTGGACTTCTGGTTCTGAGGGAGACTTAATTCGCAAATTGCCCTTTGCTCAAATTTTCTGTTAAATTATGTTGTCTTGAGTTTTTTTTTTTTTTTTTAACTTACAGAAGTGATTTTTAGAACAGCAAAGTAAGCCTGGTTTCTAGATCAGTGTCTCCTGCTGCACCCAAACCAAAGTTCACAGTGAAGGTAGGTCTTCGTAATTCACTTTCACCCACACTTTCTACTGCTCAGAGCTCCCTTTCCACACCATTCAGAAATAGAATAACATTCACATTTACTTTGGAAGCACATTTAATTAATAAATGGGACTTTTCTGGAGAGTGACCCTTAGGACTTCCTTTTTTTTTTTTTTTTTTTTTTTTTACGATTTCCTTTTACTTAAACCACCACGGACCTCTCCCAAGCATCTTCACATTCACCAAGCTCTGGGTATCTTCATCATCCCTACTTTAACCCAAACCACTATCCTTTCTTGCCAAGCTGACAGCAGCAACCTGAACCACATGATCAGAAAGCTCTTTTCCAATTTCGTGGGTGGCAGGTGTAGCATCAGTCTCTATACCACTGAACCCAGATGCAATTGACTTTGGAGCAATTATCTGTGTGTGCTGCCAGTCTCCCCAGGGGATCAGAAGTCCCCAAGTAAAGGGGCTTGTCTCTTTTGCTAGTCTTCCTGGCAAACAATGGGCATTTTGCCTCTTTTTTGAATAGTATACATAGTGGATATGCTCTGCAATTTGCTCATTTGTTATGCTGATTATTTCTCTTCGGGTCTCTTAAAGGCAAGGCTTCTGCTTGTTTATACCGGCTAAGAGTCTAAAAGAACAGCTTCTACACAGAGCTCTTGTGTGAGAAGCACACAAGACTGGGGAGAGGGGGAGGGCAGTCTGGTACCATGCTTTGATATTGTTTCAAGCCCTGAAAAAACGCTGCCTTGGAAATTTCTAGAGAGAAAATATCTCCAGGAAATTGGAATTTGTACTAGAGTGCTCTAAACAATGGCGGCTGAAAGCTTAGCCATTTTATAAAGAACTGGGAGAGATGGCAGCAGTTGGCCACAGGCCAAAATTTTGAGGTCAGCCACTTTATCTGTGGAATTCCCCACCCTCTCTTCATCCCTTGGCCATCCTGTTAAATTGGAAAATAAATCCCATTTCTGGTAAGGAGGTTGGCTGATAAGGGCTTGAGCTATTGCCCCTTCAAGGGGAATTTGCATTTTAATAGAGGCTCGTCAAGCCCCAGAGGAATCAATATCTCTGAGGGTGAAATTTCAAGCACCAGCAATTGAGATATTTGGGGGCAGACTCTTCAGTGTTTCTGATTCAACAGGGGTCTCCATAAGTCCTACCAAGAGGCCATGGAAGAATGGCCTTTTCCGTTCATCATTTCCAACTTTCCCCTTGTCTGTCAGCCCTTCATATTTCCCAACACGCTGGACCATCTTACTTTGTTAATAGAGCCCCCTTCAACACAAGTAGGCTTAATACTGTCCCATCATTAGGGCCACAAAGCAAGACAACCGAAATTTCAAGTTTCCTTAGTATTGCAAGGAAGCCAATAGTTATTTAAAACTGTTGGCATGAGGAGTGGAGATGGCTTCATAGGCTATTACTGATAATGCCCACTTAAATTCGTTTTGCACATTAAAAAAAAAAAAAGTCCAAACTTCTGACTTGTTTTTAAAAGTCCGGCAAAAGAAAGGGGAGAGAAGACCACTGTGTGCACTGGGGATGATATAAATGCTGATTCTTCGGAGTCCAGGTCTCCGGCTGGCGAGGGAAACTGCAGAACTGCAGGAAAGTGACATCTAGAGTCTCTGGTCTTTGCTTTGCAGAGGGCTGGGGGCCGCCACACCTGTGCGGAGCGCTGGGCATCACATAGATCCCCGGACTCGCCCGCCCAGTGGTGGCTCCCGGCCCCAGCGGTGGCTCCCAGGGCGGGCGGTCCGCAGGCTCAGCCGTCTCCCACGCCTCTGCCACCCGCTCCAGCGCGGGGACCACTGCCCTTGCCCTTGTGGCGCTTCAGCCCTGCGATCCTCGGGATCCGCCGGCGTCCGGGGCGCAGCCGCACCGACCGCACAACTGCGCGGTTCTCGGCCTTTTCCCTTCGCGTCTCGGCTCCAGCTCCAGCCCTGCCCAGCGCGAAGCGGCCCGGCTCGCGCCCGGAGTCAGCAGCGGCTCGTGCCCGGCACGGCGGCTCGCGCCCGCGCTCCACCCAGGGA